AGGAAAGCTGCATAGCTCTTCTTGATGTGATTTTTGTAGGCAATTTCTGTATCTACACACTAAACTTGCTTTCCCTCAAACTTACTATTTATACCCATCTTTCAATGGACAGTAGCAAATTATTCTCTCGCTACTTTATGGAATCCTTTTCATATCTCAATCTGCTATGATGTTTCCTAATAATATTCTCTCAAAGCCAAATGTTCAAATTCATTTGGTCTTTTTGTATATATCAGAGATATAACCTTTGTTCTCATCTCCTCTATAGCTTGACCTTTACATCTGTTTGTGTCTTTTTAAAATGCATTACAAATGGGCCTAATAAAATTTAGCGGAAGGTTAAAGAGTGCTAAATAGAGAAGTACACTTATTCATGCATGCATTTTTATAATAATTCCCATGGCTGCGCATTTTTATCCTGTTACAAATATAAATAATAACACTATTTAGTTATTTTTAAACAATGCTTATGTATTTTGGAGTGGTGGGAAGAAGAGAACCTTGTCAGGAAGAAAAACAGTATTTCACAGAACAGAAGGACACAAAACATCAGTGATGCACAGAAAATTGGATCAGAAGTATGAATACCAGGGAAAAATTATAAGGAAGCAGCTGGAAGAAATGACCTTTGACTTCTTTAATCTAATGCACAGTGTATTCATTTGGGAAATAAACCAAAATGAACTTGAACCTAACGCAGGAGGGCAAATATTATTTAATAGGCATTAATAAAACCTGGCAGAATGAAATCTTTGACTGGAATGTAGCACTTGGCCTATTCAAAAGGAAGAGACCAAACAAGAATTGAATAGCATTATATGTAAAGAACATGCTCACCTGCAAAGAGATGTGAGCCTTGCAGCACTCAAAACAAGCTGAGAACATTTGTGTACAAATTAAAGTGAACCACAGTAATATCAATGCTACGGTACAATACAGACATCTAAGCCAGATGGAGAACTTGGATAGTACCTTCATAAATCAGATTTCCAAGAAGAGAAATAGTTGTAATGGGCAATTTCAACTGCCCTGATTTCTGTTGGGAGTTAAACTCTGCCAAAAATGTAATGTCCAGCAGCTACTTCATCTGCCTTTCTAAACTTTCAGAACTGAGGGGAAAAATAACTTTCATGGACCTGGTCTTAACCCATGATAAGTAGTTGGTCAACAAGGTGAGAATGATGAGATCCCTTGGTAGAAGAGACCATATCATTGTGGGTTTTGTAATGTAGAGGAAAGGGAAAGTTTGAATGAAATTGGATTTTGGATGAGTTGATTTCAGTAAACCTAAAGAAATACTGGGGGAAATCCCATGGTCAGAAATATTCAGAGTAATTTCTTAAAAGGGAAATATCGAAGGCACATTTGCATACATTTTCAAAGGAAAGGAAGCTAATTTGGACACATAAGAAAATCTTGGATGAACTGAAATTTAAAAGTGGCATGCACAAGAAATAGAGGAGAGGCCAAATACAGACATGTATACACTATGAGTAGCCAATGTTTGTATTTGTAGTGACAAGATGAGGCAGCCTTAAATGCGGAGTGAGCTCAGGCTTTTGAGAGATAAATCCTTGGTAGCAGTGCTCTGAGGAAAAGCAAGAGAGGTTGGAAATTTTAAACAATGGCTGGTTAACCATCTGTAAGGATTCTTGCATTGGCAGGGGATAGACTACATAACTATTGGGTCCTTTTGTTATTTTTAATTGGGCCTTTTGTTATTGTTAATTGCTGTCAAGTCAGCTTCAGTTTATGAAGATTCAGTGAATGAAAGACTCCTGAAGCACTCTTCTATTAACAGGCTTGCTAGTGTCTTGCAAAATCATGGTTGTGGTTTCCTTGATTCTCTATCCACCTGTAATGCGATTTGCCTGTTTTTGTACTGCCTTACAATTTATGAAGCATTATGTCTTTCCCAATGTGTCATGTTATCGTACAAAGCCAATAACCTCATTTTAGTCATTATGTCTTCTAGATAAAATTCAGGTTTGCTCCCAGGGTAGTGCAGGGTATACTTAGAACTTTTCTTCAGCGCCACATTTCACATAAATTGATTCTTTTCTGTCAGCATTCTTCACTTTCTAGATTTTACAGACATATAAAGAAATCAGAGAATACTATGAGATGGAAAATCCTGGTTTTCATACTCAGTGATATGTCTATGCTTCTGTTATCAGGAACTTCATATCGTGTTTTGTCTATGAAAAACAACTAGTCATGAATGAAGATGTGAAAAATTCTGCCTTGGTAAATAATCTCTAGATAATGTCCTTCTCAGAACTATCTGGGACAGACGTTCCTGCCTCTTAAAAGAAGCCTCTCTCTGAAGTAAAATGCCAATACATATTGATAATAGGGATTGTTGTAAGCTGCTTGGAGGCATTGGTGGGAAGCAGTTTTGTAAATAAATGCAAATGGTAATTTGATTTCTTTGTCAAGGAAATATATTTGGCAGCAGATCACAAATAGTAAATAGTAACAGGATGGTAACATTTCTCATTATCCTATAAGCTGCTGCTGCTAATAATGTTTATTTATTTATTTATTTATTTATTTATTTGACCAGTCATATGACCATTTCAAAATACAACACGACTAAAAGACAAGGCAAAAAGGAGGGGACAGCAACTGACCTTCTATTTACAGTCAGAATCTTATTTTTCTGGTTTCTCGGCCTTTTGGCTAAGATCAAGTGCAGTATCTGTTCTGTATGCTGCTTATGAGAAACCCCTTCCCTTATAATGGAGAAACCGTAGTGTCAATTCTGCCGCACATCCCTGGTGCCTTTGAGCACATTTTGAGGAAATTGTACCAGTGATTGTTTCTGGAAAAAAAATTAAGGTGCACCCCCTTTTTTTTTCTTTTTTCTTTTTTGCTGCTCTACTTAAAGCAGGACATTTTCTGCTCTGCTTCAAACAGAACCTTGGGAACACATGTCTACATATACTGCATGTACCATTCTGGTGACCATGACAACAGGATTTTCTTAGATTCCATATAATAAAGTGCAAAGCTGTCATAGCTTGACCACTAAATGTGTTGCTTTTTTTCATGATGTGGATCTGAACTGAAAGACTGAAATATATTATAGAGACTTGAAAGTGCAGGCTCCTGTTATTCTAACTGACCCTCACAAATAATGTGAAATTGAGAGATATCTTACACCCAATGTTATAGGTTATTGAGATTTTTTTTAATATTGGATGATTAGAAACAATTGGGTAAAAAGCCATGAGGCATCTACCCAAAATTAGTGTCATGCTTAATGTACATGATGGATGGGCTAATTCGTTACTAATTTTGTTCCTGAAGGAAAGAACAAGTAATTAAAGCAATCTACTTCCTGCTGCAAGAAAGTCTTCAAAATTGCATACTGCAGTTTTTAAAGATAATTTGCACTTCAGAACATACTCGGCAGGAAATTAGTGTGTTGTTTTGGGAGTCAGAAAAGAGCATTTTTGTCCCAGGAAACAGCATTTTCTACATTTTTTGTGCATAAAATTATATTTCTACTCAGAAATATTACAGAATTTTATGTGAAGTAAATCCTGAGCTGCAAAGTGTCCTCCATCCAGGATTATCCTCATCAGAATTTGCTGGCACTGAAGAAACAACAAATTTGTTGACACTGAAGTACGTGCAAGATTGCTTCAGATGTTGTGCCACTGAAATGTAGTATTTATTTATTTAATTTAGAACTTCTCGACCTCCGAAGAGGGACTCAGGCCGGTTCTCTTCTCTTATTTTTGTTCTCTTCTGAAATATTGTCACTTGAACTTCTCAAGAAACTTCTGTGCACATTTATTTTCCAGATAATTTCCAAAACCCCTTTTTTCACTACATAGTGAACCATGTACAATATATTTACTTACTTAATACTTTATTATTATCCCACTACAGTTACCAGAAGCGACTTGCAATTTCTCAAGTTGCTCCACAAAAAGACCCCTACAGTTACTCAAGGTAGTTTCCAAAAGTATCTAGGGAGTTTACTAAAAAAAATAATTGACCTGCAGAGTAAAAAAATGTAGTTGTGTGGTTATCAGTTCCCTGAACAAAATCCTATTTTCTCTTTTCTCTGTTGTTCTCCTCAACCTCAAAAACAGCTACAGAATATTAGGAAACTTTGAATAATATTGTTGGATATTATGCTAATGGCAGAGCACTGGCACGACTCAAGATTTGGGTCTTTCTGTAAAGACATATCTGACATGTCATAGCATTCAACTCCACCATAGGTTCAGTTCCTTCAAGCAACGAGGGTCTTCCATTAATACTATACATGCTTTTTTTAATTGCACCTTTAAAATATCAACAAAAATATATAAAACCAAAATGCAGCTTCCAAGATATTAAGTCAAACATACTTTTTCCTACCCTCCTGCAGAACCTCATCAGAATGAAAAAGGTTCCAAAATGAAGTAAGAATACGAGTGCTTTTGACACCCATCCCTCAACCATTTATCATTGAAGGCTTTCAGTTGGTTGTGAATGGGTGACTAGGCAAAACTTTATTATTGTGAGAGTAAAATAAGCTGCAATATTAACATTATCAGACTTTAACAATGGCTGAATGTAATTGCGTGAATTGTGTTTTGAAGAGAAATAAGAGAAATTAATATTTTACCAATTCTTTCATGGACCATATCCCCAAGGGCATGGAAACAGCTTGCTCACTGATATAGAGGATTCTCTTTGTTGAATATATTTAAACCATATCTATTTCACTGTTTCAAATGTGGAAATATGCTGGGCCAGTAAGATTTCTATTTTATTTTGTTCATGCTGTGTATGCATGTGCATATGTGCAGTTGGTATCTTTTGCAAAGCCACTCACAATATTTTCAATTGAATTATTCTGGGTAACAAATGTACAGCAGGGTGGAAAAAGGGTATGCTCAAGGGCTGTATAGATCACTCTGGGAAAACAGGATTTTGTGTTTGTGCAAATAAAGTTCAATTAAGAAAGTTGCTGTAGACTCTTTTTCTTTTCTTCAAAGGTGCAAGAACCTTACATTTCCAGACAGCCTTCCTGAGGTCAGCATTGTTTTCATATTTGTGAATGAAGCACTCTCAGTGATTCTACGTTCCATTCATTCTGCTATTGACAGGACTCCTGCTCATTTGCTCAAAGAGATTATTTTAGTGGACGACAACAGTAATAATGGTGAGTAGGATACACCAAAGGTGATGATGTCCTTCCCTGATGAGGACAGAAACTAATCAAAGAGAAATTTTGTAGAAAACTCTTCTGTGTGTTTTATATTTTATGCCTTTTGATTATTTAATACAGAGTCTGTCCCTTCATAACCCACTATGCTTTTCCTTTGTACTCTCAAGTATTTTTTTCTTCTAATGCCCCTTGATGCTATCTTAAGCAGTTTCATGATTTAAATATGTTTTAGATTTTTTTACTCTTTTTTGTGGTAGAATGAATCCTCAAAGAGACTAAAAATAAAATGCTATCTTCATTTGCACAAACCTGCCCAAATATTAAGACCATGTTCAAAGGCTGTTCAGGAGGTACAGGGTTTCTGGCAGATCATATTTTCCTATATGAGCCTGCCTTGGACCCAGGATCCTCAGGAGAAGCTCCCTTTTCATCCCCATCACATTTACAGGCACTTCTGGTGGTGAGTCAAAACAGAGCCTTCTTAGTGGCAATCTCTAGTCTCTGATACTTTATTAGGGAGGCTAATTAGCCTTCCCTCATCATCAGGCAAAAACATTTTATGTTTTTTACTCTGATAAGCTTTTGAGAATTGAATGTTGCCAAATCAAGGGCTTTAAAGAGATTGCTGCATTATTTTAATTGTACTACCTTTTAGTATTTTTAATTGTAAGTTTTAAATTGGTTTAATGTTACCAATATATACAGCAGAGTGTCGCTTATCCAACCTTTGCTCATCCAACATTCTGTATTATCCAACGTAGTCTGCCTCCTGCCCGGATCCACAGTTGTTTCAATACATTGCAATGTTTTGGGGATAAATTCGTAAAAACAGTAATTACTACATAACGTTACGTGCTTTTTCTGACAGTTGGTTGTAAAACATGATGTTTTGGTGCTTAATTTGTAAAATCATAATTTAATTTGGCATTTTAATAGGCTTTTCCTTAATACTTCCATATTATCCAACATTTTCGCTTATCCAATGTTCTGTCGGCCTGTTTATGTTGGATAAGCGAGACTCTACTGTAATTCCATTTTGCTCTTCTGTATATTTTACCTATATTGCATAATGCATCTTGTGTTGGATATAGATAAAGAAGGTAATGGTGAGTAGTAGGATTGTGTTAGCAGCATTAGTAGTGTACTACTACTGCTAATAAGAATAATAAAAATAAGAATAGGGCCATTCCAGTGGTGCAACCCACTCATTGGAACATGCTTTCTCAGAAGCCATGAGTCTGAGGTCTCTCACTGATTAGTGCTTTTTGAGATTTACTAAAATGTGTTTTCAGCTTTGATGTTGGTGCTTCTTTACTATAAGTATAACATTCATTACTGATTTGTTTGTTTGAGGGCTTAAACATTTTAATAAGCTGTTTAGGGAACTTACTGGTTGATGAAGTGAGATGTTAATACCTCTCTAAATAGCTTATACTGTGTCAGGAGCACTTCACCATAACATACTGGATTATGTTTAGAATATGAACACTTATCTTCATGGGAATGTGTTCTGGCACTCTGTTAGAACTTTATGTCTAAGGGAGACACTTTTCTGTTTAGCACACTTTCATTTATAATCACCCTTTCTTTCTCCAAAGTTCTTGGTAGGATTTAAGAACATGTGTGCTAGGAGCCAAACCATGCTTTGATTTTAAGTGTAAAGAAATGAAAATCGTGTTCTTCTTAACTTGGTAAAATCATGAAAGATGTGTTCAGAAAAATTCCTAGTCTCCATCCACACTACAGAATTATAGTGCTATGATTTTACTAGAGCTACCATAATTCCATCTTGTCAAATCATAGATTTTATAGTTTGGTGGGGCTCTAGAGTGCTCTAGCTAATGCTTGCTACACTGCCAGTCCCAGTATTAAATAAAACAGAATGATGGGCGTTAAAGTGGAATAACAATGTTAGAATTCAGTAGTGTAGATGGGTCTTTGGTTCTCATAGTGGCTGAAAAGTTCTGAAATGAAAATTTGGGGACAGCTCAATGTACTTAGCCTGCAGACTCTATCAGACTGGGCTTACCATTCTCTTCACTTACACATTGGGACTGAGGTCAGTAGTAAATCTTACCGACCTTTGTAGTAGGCAGTGGAGACACAAATGCTGTCTCCCTTCCTCAGGAGCATTTTTTTGTTGATAACATCACGGTTCCCAAGGTTTTTGTGTTTTCTCTGTCAGAATGTGTGTATGGGTGTGGGTGTATCTCTCTCTCTCTCTGTGTGTGTGTGTGTGTATGATGCTAGTAGAAGTATGGGGCCCACAGCTTCTGGAGTCCTGGATCATTTTCTCCAACTCCACAATTATTAATATAGCTCTGCATAGAAGGCACACCTCTGAACTGTTTTGTACCCACAGTTCACTAGTTATGCTGAACTTTGTCCTTGAAGATAGTATATGGTCCCCTGTGGTTAAAACATCTTAGCAGAATGAAAGACCAATTTGGCAAATGTGAAGGAATGACATTGAGCCACATATAATTGTTTTAATTTAGTGAATTCACTTATATTCAATTAGTTATTTGCTGTACTGATCATAATTGTGAGCAGACTTTGGACCTCCAGGTCAGATATGGAGGGTATGGATGTTGGTGGTATACTTTGAAAGAGAGGAAAAGGAAGTCCTGGAAAAAGTGGTAGAAAAGCACCACAATGGATTTTATTCTTCTGAGGGCTCTTCCACACAGCTCTATATCCCAGAATATTAAGGAAGAAAATCCCACAATATCTGCTTTGAACTGGGTTATCTGAATCCACACTGCCACATATTCCAGTTCAAAGTAGATAATGTGGGATTTTCTGCTTTGATATTCTGGGAAATAGGGCTGTGTGGAAGGGCCCTGACATGTCAGGATTAAACCAAATATTCAAAGCTTTTTAGGGCCCTTCCACACAACCTTATCAAGGCAGAATATCCCATAATATCTGCTTTGAACTGGGTTATCTGAATCCACACTGCCATATATCCCAGTTCAAAGCAGAAAATGTGGGATTTTATTCAATTGTGTGGAAGGGGACTTACAGATTTCTTTTTACTACTCTAAGGAGTTGTAAAGGAGTCATATTGGGTCACGATGCTTGTGTTAAAATAGTTATGCAAGCAGTTAGATCTTCTCATAGGTTGCTAAGTATGGCCCCTAGTGCAGCTAAGCATATACAAACTTTTTCTCTCTATTTTTTTTTACTTGTTGGATTGGGAGATTATTGACTATTGTGCAACCTGTGAGCTCCATGCTTCATTGCCTCTTTCAAAAAATATGTAAGATCTGGTCTAACCATGTTGTTATGTATTTATCCTGGGCAAAAGGTATATAGTATCTTGGTCAATATATTATACCTAATCCTTCTATATGACTTACTATACAATATATACCTTTGCCTTAAAACTAATCATGTAAGGTTTGGTGGAATGCCAAGCAAGTTAACTTCAGTTACCACTTTTCTTCTGGCTGCTTCTGTTTTACTATGGATGAAAACTTACTTGAAATGCAGGTTCCAGGAAGTACATACAATGGATAGGAGAGAGAGAGAGAGAGAGAGAGAGAGAAAGAACACTTACTCTAAATCTCATCCTAGTCCTAGAAAAATGCAGTATTTCACCCAACCTTGGGCAGGTTTCCCTTGAAATACCATCATAGGGGAGCAGGAGAAAGACAGCATCCAGGATTAATGTGTTTGTTTATATCCATTTACTCTATATCACAGGACAGTGGAGAGACCTAGTATAAGTGAAAAAATCACAGGCAGTCCAAAACAAATGGGCAGATGTGACAAATGAAGGTGGCAGATTGTGAATTAAGTAGGCTGCAGGAGTGCTTTCTTACAGACTTTCAGTCCAGGTCTTCTATTAGTAACAACAGAGTACCTTAGGAATTGGGCAATTGATAGCTTGAGAGTACTGTAGAAGCTAAATAGACATGAGAGACTTTGATGTCAAATAGGATATAACTCTCTTGGAACTGAAAATTACTTCTCTGTCTGTGAAAAGGTGTTCTTAATTAAAATATCTTGCCAAGCAAGATTTTCCTATCATATATCCTATTATTTTTTATCTCTACGTTTTTTCAGTTGGTAAAATGTAACACCATTAAAAGAATTGACCCCTGTTGCTACTTATTTCTTTTCAAAGAACCTCAATCTCTATACCGGGAACAAATGGCCAACAAAGGCCATGATTTAGATTAAAGGTGTTGATTTAGAAATAGCTTCTCTGTGCACTTAAGGCTATCACACAAATTATTTGTTTTAAAATGAAGTCTACCAAATCAGATAGTATCCAGACAATCCATTATAGTTATCATTACGGTTCTCATAGTTCAGTAGGCCAAAGAGTAAAAGCTTGGGACATTTTACTTCAGTACATTGAATTCCCTAATTTTTAGAATAAGAAGAAATCCTGATCCTTATTTACCACGGGTCATGGGCTATCACTTGTAGCCGAGTATAATTGTCTTTTAGAAGTAGAGTTTTGGCGGTAGGTCCGTAAATGACTGTGAAAACCTATTCTGGTATCCTTATTTACACAAATCTGTGTATTATCTGGATCTTCAATTAATTATGTTTGTTTATTTTTTTTAATTTTCTTGGAACCAAACTATACAGCCCTCTCCCCCCTCACATCCTCCTTAGCAAGATGACACTTTGACTAATGTCAGCCAGTGTGTCACAGCTAGCAACAGCCATAACATAGGGGGCAGGAGGGACATCTGGGGTAGCTACCAGTGCAGAACCATGTTCAGTATGGCTGGGCAATGGGGATTCCCTGCTGCCTCCAAGGTGGTTCAGGGGGCCGCCAATGGACCCAATCCAGCATCACAGAGGCCAGATTGACCTAGCTTCAGCAGTGATTGTTGAAAACTGCCCTGAGTCACAAAGGAATGGATTTAAACTATAGAAAGCGAGATCCCACCAAAAAATCTCCTGTTGGTAAGAGCTTTTTGACAGTGGAATACACTGCCTTGGAATGCAGTGGAGCTTCCTTCAGCAGAGGT